TATATATATATATATATATTAGAATGATATAACATGTAGGTTTTTAAGCCTTAAGGCCATGGCCAGCCTGACTCTCAGAACATTGCTTTCTCGGACACACGAGGGGTCACTAGGTAGTCGATATCTCTCACTCTTTTAAGTTGGATTGCAGGTTGCAGAATGCCAGTCTTGGACTTGGCAGCTTCTGCGCAGCCAGAGGGTCTCACATGAAGTCATCATCACTGTCCGCTTCCGCCAGGTCGGGCTCCTCCAGCAAGTCAAACTCAAGCCTCGGATGTCACGAAATCGCGGAGTCCGATCCCGATTCCGACTAAAAAACTGACTTGGATCCTGATTCCTACAGGGATTTGTTGCAGCTTAGAGGCTGGTATCTCATGAGCCCACCGATGCCTCCAAAGCCCTTGACGAACTGGTTGCCTTCCTGCGACCTATCCGAAATAAACTCCAGCTTGGTGCCGAAGTTCTTGTAGTTCACAACTATCCAATCCAAGAACGCCTCGTTCTCCGTGACGTTCAGCTCTACGTTCGTTTCCTTGTCGACGTAGAGCTTTGGATCCTTCTCCTGTTCGGGAGTCACATACTTGACCTCCTCCGTATCGGTGTGCGGGTTCCGGATGACCAGCCTCTTGATATCCAGCTGCTCCCAAATGATCAAGATCTCCACAGCACCGGCCTCCAGGCCCTGCATTGTGTCCTTAATCCCGAAGCAGTATCGGCCGGAGTCCGTGGCAACCTCGTCTAAGAACTTCGTGACCAGCTTCTTCTCCTGGACAAACTTCACATTTCTCAACGTCTCTGCCGACAGCTCAATCGCCTGGTTGAAGCCAGCCTCTCCACCGTAGCTAATGTCAAGGAGCGGGGGGATGACAATTGCCGCTAGTCTCTGATCGAAGAGGTCTGTGTTCGTCGTCAGGTCCTGCTTGAACTCCGCAGAACCTGCAACGATCAGCCCCTTAATGTTCGGGGTCTCTCCATTCGGAATGAACATCTGCGTTGCTGTCTCTCCAACTTTTCGTACATAGTTGTGTCGCTTCTCCAGTCGGAGGCGCGCAAAACGCAAGGCAGACTGTCCTCCTCGGCCGTGCTTCTTTGGCAAGTCCACTGTGAATTTGTGCAAGATTTCACGATGGTTACCCTGCACCGTGCCGAACAGAGAGCCATTACCATCCATAATCAAAAACCCAAACTTGTCATCATCCTCCATGAGCTCGGCGAGGGGTTCGGTATGAAATTTGCTATCACAGAGGTACATGGAGGTGTTAATGGGCTTGAACGGCTCGAAGTCGATGGTGAGCTTCTTCTCCTTGTTGTCCTGCAAGGGGGGGTGGGTGACCTTCCTGGATGCATCGGAACATGTACATCTAGCGGGAGCCTTCTACGGTACCAAACGGGTGCTTAGGGACAAAGATTGTCGTCTATTCAAGTCTACAAGAGCTAGCCACCATCAGTCCCTTCGGCCTCCGTCAAGACCTCACCACAGAAAATGATGAGGCCGTTTGGCGGGGTGCGATTGTATTTCTTCAATCGCTGCTGTGTTGATGTGATAGCAGACAACACGGACAAGCGGTTTACCCGCGACTTGATGCACGATGCAGTGCCGTACTCCTCCGTCAACATCTTGTTCGTCAGATTGATGTCCTGCTTGGAATTGAGAATTAATGTAATGGCTGAGGTGCCATTTCCGCGTGCAGCATCGAGCATCTTGACAAGGCGCTTCACCTTCCATTGCTCGATCTGCCGATCTTCGGCTGTCTGTTCCTGCGACATGATGGCGAAGGAGCCCAGTACGCGCTGAGGCGCTGCGCACTTCACGTCCGCTGGTTGAGCCAACGCAACCGGAAGCATGCAAGGGTACATCCATGTACTCCACTACCTCACAGCCCAGCAAGACGTAGGCGTGATCGGAATCCTGATGATTCCTGGGTTCAGCATCAAACACCTACTACCCTCCAGCCCTCTAGTGCACACACCTCGTGGCAATGAGCCAGGGAGACTTGGGCATGCAATTGCCCTCCAGCCAGCGGCAGTACACCACTGAAGGTACCTCATCTGGAGCATCTGCACGAAGTGGCCATGCATCCGTTACATCCACATGGTGATATTCGCACGCTTGGTCGCCCACACGTGTGGCAGGGGTGCCATAGGCAATGAGCCCAGCACCTCCTCTGTGAGACCACTCCTGCACAAAAGCAATAGCCTCGACCACGAGAGAATCCGGCACACTTTATCTTCGTGGAACACGCCAAGTGAGACGTTATTCATTTGTCATCGTCTAAACGGTCGTCCTCGAAAGTTGCAGCGGAGGGAGACCTGTTGCCACCGACCAGCGGCTTGCAAACATACCGCACGTCTCCCCCCGTCTGGGCCTTTGCCAGGTTGGCTGGGCCTGCCACGCAGCCTCAGTACACACATGAGTAGCTGCTTCGACACTGCTTCTGTGCACCTGCTGCCTACTGCTGCGGCGAGTCCCTAGCCACACTTCGTCGGGACCAGGTATTGACCTGCTTCACCTCAAGCATGTTCAAGGAGTGCATACCACTACTTTGCCCTGCTTTGCTGCAGAAGGAATTTCAGGTCGAAACCCAGTCTCTCAGATCAGACACCCACTCGAAGGTCGCACCATCATCTGAGGGCCTTGAGTGCTGAAGTCTCCCGTGCTGGGCCCTGCGACTGGCATTTGCCAGTTTAAGACTCCGGCACACAACCCACCTCAGCAGCGCATCAACATGACGTTTTAAGCATTCTGTCTCAACATTCCAGCTCCAGAGGACTGGGACTCAAACAGCCCATGCGACACCATCATGCCCGCAGTCGTAGAACTGGTTGCCAATGATCTGGCCTGAAAGCGCGAGCCCCGCTAAGACACTACGCAACTACGCAGCAAGGCGGCAGCAAGGCCAGGACCATGAACGAAGAGGGTGGATCCAAGGATGCAAGCAATTTCTGCGAGTCGGAGATAGTCGCCTCGGTTGCAGAACGAGAGCAGCTTGCAGCATGAACCAACGCAGCAACAGCTGCCAGAACAGAACCACATGAGTTAGCACGGCGTTGCCAGGACGTCAGGCATTTCGAGCGTTTCGAAGATTAGCATGAAGACAAAATGGAAACCTTTTCAATGAACTCGGCCTCCGCGTGAACGCGGCCGGCTTGGGACTGCGGAAATGACGTGATTTTGCTATGGAGAATGTGCATGCTCGTGCGCGTGGTCCTTCAATCCAAATCTCTCGCCAGTACATCTGTGGAACGATGTTGGGCGTTGCGCCTTTGAAACGCTCATGGCCTCAACTCTAGCAGTGGTCTCCAATCCCGCCATTACATGGACGGAACGATTTTGAAGGCGGCACTTTCAAACGCTGGAGGCAATTATTGTGGGGCCACTAGGTGTGACGGTTAAATGCATTGCCTACTAATTAGGCGATGGCGGTTGAGCCGCATTTCCCACTCTCGCCCCCTCAAGAGACGATATTAAGCGGCGGTGGTTGATCACATGGTTTGCCTGCAAATTGGAAAGGAGTCACCTGGATTTTTCAGCGCCTCCTTTCCACGGCATGAGGTTATTCATAGCAAGCTTTGCAAGGCTCAGCAAAAAGCGGTGGCGTGAAGGGGTGAAGGGGAGGTGTGCACAAAATTACCATCAGTGCAAACACAATGCTCGAATGACCCACTGGAAAATATGGAAACGAGCCATGTGGGTATTGCATAAACTTCTGTCGACGGGTTCTTCAAAGCAAGCTTTGCAAGGGCTTTAAAAAACATAAAACCAAGCCATTCACCCAAGATCACACTTCACCGCGGGCTCTGCAAAGACACTGCAAGAGACCACAACATACATGATGAATACAAATAGAGTGGTCAGAGCTAGCACCTGACTGGCTGCAGCCGAGTTTTTTGCAGCAAAGGTGAAGACCATGTTGCTAGCAACACCAAGTCAATTGCTTGGCGATCTGATGTATGCGGAAAGGACAGGCCCGGCGCACAGCTGTATGCCAAGCGGCGGGACTGTCTAAACTCGCCGGTGAATTGCACTCCATGCTAAGACACCGACCGGCCACCCAAAACTGGCTCGAGCAATCGAATTAGCATAAGGCTGTTCTGTTCAGCCTTGCGCGTTAGACTGCATCCGTTTTGAACAAGGCTCGGACTTCACATGCAGTTCTCGCTGGTGGCCTCGGACTCCGTGTAAGACTCGGACTCGCTGCTTTGGGTCTTGCCCTTCTCGAAGCTCTGTGCCGGTCCATGAAACATTCCACCCATCTCGGACCAGTAGTAGCAGGGGCTCAGCAGCGCCCAAAACATCACATAGCCCGCATGGACCTGGAAAGG